TGTCCTCCGGCGGGGAGCTCTTCCTGCGCTTCATCAGCCTCACCTCGCTGGAGTACTCGGTACGGGAGGCTGCCCCCCGCCCAGCCGCGCTGCTTGCAGGGGGACGCACCAGCCTCACAGCGAGCTTGGCGGTGTTTTCCAGGACTACTCCAAGTGCAAAGAAATCATGATCGAGCGCGGGGAGATCTTCCTCAGAAAAGTCTCTCTATCAAGGAACAAAATCGCCAAGCTGTGTCATCCTTTCATCAGAGATGGTGCCGTAAGTAGGCCAAGGCAGGGCCTCTCTTGTTATCTTCTAATGGAACAACAGAAAGGGGAGGGAGCGATGTTCACTGACATTCACAGCAGCATTGTCCAGTGGCAGCTTCTGCAAGTCATAGGTGTACCATCACCCCTCTTATTTTGTTAAGACCCATCTCCTCCCCCTATTTCAGTTTCCACACAACCCAACATGCAGTCTACTTCTAAGAGGTACTGAGGAGTCACTGCTTTAAGTTCCCATTTAAAGTACTAGATTGTCACCCCTTGACCACATCAGGGCAGGCAGCATAAAGCCCGGCTCGCAGAGTGGTTTGCTATCCTATGATTTGTAGAATACAAGTGACGTGCATTATTATTTAACATTGATGCACCATTGTGCATCAGGAGGCCCAGGGAGGTGGTGGAGTCACCATCCCTGGATGTGTTTAAAGAGCGGGTAGATGAGGTACTTAGGGATATGGTTTAGGGGGTAGACAGGAGCGGTTGGACGTGATGATCTTGGAGGTCTTTTCCAACCGAGCGATTCTGTGATTGTGTGAAGTGAAAGCCATGACCCCATTAATAAAAGTAAAGGTTTCCTAAAGCTCCCCAAAAAGTAATGCCTGATATTTTTTTTTTGGACAGCGAATACTGACACATGCCTACTCAAGAGTGGTCCTCAGAGTGTTAGAAGCGGCTGTGGAGGCAAAGAAGCGATTCAGTGTTTACGTTACTGAATCACAGCCAGATCAAGCAGGGCAAGTACTCATTAATTTGTGTTTTACCTGGGTTAACAGGGTAAGTTACAGGTAGCATTGAATCTGTTAAATTATAGCTGTCACTAATATCACATTATTCTGGACAAGTGAAAAAAACCCCAAACCCAATATTGGCAAGTAATTTCCCTTACTAAATATTGTAATTACAGTGTTACCTAGGTTTCTGTTTGAGAAACAACTGATTTCCAGTTGCCTGCTTCAGAAGTAGGCTAAAATAATCAGTACTATCCTAAGCATAGCAAAGTAAGACATTTAGTTAACAATCTTGTTTGAAGATGCCAAATAAAACACATTACTGATAGCAAGAGAGCAAGCTTTCTCTTTTCGCAGCGTACGTGGTTGTGTAAGTGAAGTAATCGTCCCACACACTGGGTAATACAGGTTGCTAACAAGTCTGTCAGTAGAATCAAAGACATTCAGCCACGTGAAGTACGTATGATTTTCCAGCTTCACTGAAATAACTTGTGGCAATGCACTCCATGCTTTATTTCTTGTTTCTTACACCCTGTAGCTGGAGAAGCTGAGACAGTTCAGGTAATCTGTCATCTTCATACCAGTTCACTGACTCATCTTTCTGTGGCTGTAATTCCTGACTGCTAAAACAGACTGACTTTACTTTCATTTGGTTTGTTGTAATCTGTTTCCATTTCTACACAATAACTTATTTTCTATTAGAGGGTGCATCATAACCCAAAACTACGAGCAGGGGAACACGGTCAGTCATTAGTTTGTCTTTCAGAAAATACTTCTCTAGGATTGTCTAATGAAAAATCTTCTCAGCTTCAAACATGTTTTTTTAATAGACAAAAAATGGCAAAAGCCCTGAGGAAGCTGAACATTCCTGTGACTGTGATTCTGGATGCTGCAGTTGGGTATGTCAGCTTAATATTCATCAGTTTTATTTTATAGTGTTATATGCAAGTTTCCTAGAAGCTTGTTCAAACCGGAGTGGTTGGTAGTTAGTTTAGTTTGTCACAGTCGTCAAACAAGCTAAACAAGTTCTGCACAATGAGGAGAATACGCCTGCTACTAAACAAGTATTTGAACTTTTCATATTAGACTGAAAAATGAAGTCAGACCTAAGTGTAGAACTTGGGGATGTACATAAAAAAACCCAAAAGAAAACCCCACAGCAACAACTAAAAAACCAAACCTGAGGTGCTACACAAAAAAGCTGAACTTTTTTCTAATTTGCATACATTGCTATCATTTTATGGTTTGTTAAGCTATTTGTTAAATTACTGTCACTTAGTAAAGTCCAAAACATGAGAAAAGAACGAACGACAATAAATCTGAACCTCAATTCTTGCATAGGTGCAAAATGCCTGAGAAGCAGCTTCCAAGAGAACACGTCTGCTTACCAAGCCCCCTCTAATCCAGGGAACAGAGCAGCTTGACTTGGACAAGCCTACAAGTTCTGTTGAACACATTAAGGCTGCTCAAAACACTTGGTTGACACATTTCTTTTTAGATCTGTATTTTCAGATAACAAAACACATCAGAGGGACAAAACGAATGGGGGATTGGATAAGAAGCGTCTTACGTATTTATTTGGCCAAGGTTATCATGCTGCAGTTACACTTCACTGTGTAGGCAGTATCTCAGTCCAGGCACCCACGTTCCTGTAACTGGGGCTCATTCCTAGTCAGATCTCAACTTCTCCCAGCATTCACACCATTGCTGAGGTCAGCTATGCCTGGAGAAGCTGCGGTTACTTAATATTCCTGCTAGGGAGCGGAGGAAAGCTCGCTCCAAGGATGTCACAGCACGTGGACTTAAATAGGTAGATGAAACTAGTGCAGAAAAGTGAAGGAGTGCTTGAATTACTAATTTCTGTTCTGTACAGCAAGTCATTTGTCGTATTACCCAGTAAGACTTGGATTTTTTTCCCCCCTTTGAACAGCTACATTATGGAGAAAGTGGACCTGGTGTTAGTTGGTGCTGAAGGTGTAGTTGAAAGCGGAGGAATTATTAACAAGGTAATAGGTAGTGAGTTTATTACATCACTGTCTTAACTCTAGACTTGTAAAGTTTGGTTTCTTTGAAGAATTTAAGGCTTTCTGAAAAATCTTTTCTGTTTGGCCATTATCCAGTAAACATGCTTATTGTTGGAAACCAGGCGATGTTCTGTCACGCTGGCACTGAGCCCGCATGTCGTTTTCCACTTGTCTCCACAGATTGGCACTAATCAAATTGCTGTGTGTGCCAAAGCTCAGAATAAGCCATTTTATGTGGTAGCAGAGAGTTTCAAGTTTGTAAGACTCTACCCCCTAAATCAGCAGGACGTCCCAGATAAGTTTAAGGTAAGAGAAATTAAAATTGTTTCTTAGCCAGCTGAGATGCATCCCTACAGGTCTATGAAAAATTTTCACCTAAGCACGTCGTAATTTATCTGGATCTCTCTACTGTAGCTTGCTTTACATCATATGGAGTTGCTCCACGTTACAGTCACGTGTTAAACAGCTATAATTTGTTGTAACACTAACATTTTAGTTCCTTAAGCGGTTCCTTTGGGGCACAGGAGCAGCTGAGGGTAAGAAAGTTAAATCAATACACTTCAGACCTACAAACTGTACTTTATACAAAGATAAAACAGTTGAGACCAAGATGGCACCAGCCTATCCCCCATTTTAAAGCAATTTACTTCCTTCAGTTTTACCACAAACGTCTGCTCAAGACTACAGTACCACTCTTGCTCAAAAGACGTTTTAACTTGCAGTTGTGTAATAACTAATGGTCTCCATTTCCTTCTAGTACAAAGCAGACACTCTGAAAACAAGTCAGAATCTAACAGAGGAGCATCCCTGGATTGACTACACATCACCATCGCTAATTACGTTGCTGTTTACAGACCTCGGTGTGTTAACTCCATCAGCTGTCAGTGATGAACTTATTAAACTCTATCTGTAACAGAGGACTGTGTACAGGGTGCATCTTCAGGAGTGACTGCTGCAGTTGTAAGAACTCAGAAGATGATACACGTTATATGGACATGGTAAGGAGACAGCGTTGTAAGGATTAATGTAATTATCAACTTTCTTGAGGTTTTAAAGCAAAACATTACACGTGGGTGGACCAGTGTCCAAAAAAACAAGTCCAAAAGCTACTACAGTGTCTAAAGGCCTAAAATAAATTATTTTAAAGATGACTGGAGTATGCAGATATTGTAAAGTGATGTACCTCATCGTGCAGTCAAACTCAGAATGCTGTTACTGATCTGTGGTACGTACCTGGAAAACAAAAGGAGGACGTGCGCAAGGCTGCCAATGGAAACGTGCAGCTGCCCCGCCGTGCAAGAGCGGTGCTTTTAGCCTTGTTCTTCACTGCAGACTCGTTTGTACGTCTTTACGGATGCCAGGTCTCTTTATGAAGACATTAGATCAGTTCTCTGCATCATTATTTTGTTACAAAAGAACAGTTTTATTGAAATAGGCAGTATTTTAATGTAAAAGTGGTGTTAAAATAACTGTCAACCTTCAGACTCTAAGTCAGCAACAGTTTCTACTTTAAGTTTGCTCCGGCTGCCTGTCAGTCTTTTCTCAAACTCTTCTTCACTAATTTTTCCCTTTTTTAATCTTTTCAAGAGTCTTGTGTCATTCAGCAACTCTTCCATATCCTCATCTTCAATATCGGAGCCCTGTTGGCAGTTAAAAAACCAACAAGTTAAACACAATACCCAAAGGTTCTCATTCCATGCAGCTGAACACAAGAGACGTTTACAGCTCAGATTTTGCCAGTAGTATCCAAGCAGGAAATAACAGTTTCTACCTGGGGAACGATCCAGCTCTCGGTTACACTTGTGAGAACTGGAAAAAATAAAAGTAAGTCCTGTCCAGCATTATGCCTTACTGCAAAAAGTGCTGGCAGCGTTACTGACCAGCGTCACAGATCTGAGATGTTTGTTCCAAATGTTTGGCTTTAAAAGGCTTTGTAATTTTTTCTAAGCTCTGCCTGTCATGGTCCTAGAAAAGTTAATTTAGTTGTCAATTCCATCAAACTAAAATCCCAAGACCATACCTTTAAAAGTATGTACCTATGCTGCAGTAATCACGTGCAGTTTACTAGAGCGGGCACATTTTACCTCTTCACGCCTCCTTTTAGCTGTTACTTTCTTTTTCTTCTCCCTTTTGGCTTTCTGCTTTGACCAGGCTTTGTTCTTTATGAATTTCTTTTTGCCTCCATTTTCCTCTCTTTCTTTTCTTTGTTGTTCTAGTTGTTTTTGTCTCTGTTTTTCTCTGTTTTTATCCTTGAATGCAATGGAGTCTGTATTAACAGTGACCGGAGTAAAGTCTGGAAAACATTTTCCTCTTAGTTCAGGCATCTTTGGCATTTTTAACAATGCAAAACCTTTGGCAAGGCTAGCAAAATCCAGATCTGCCAAAAGAAAGATTATAAAAGTCACTTTCCTGCTGGATAAAAAGTTGATTTCACTTAGCAAGGCACAAGAAGAAAAAAAACCACCTTACTATATTGTTTGCATTTAATACTAGTAAAAATAGTAAGTCACTTTTATTTATGCTTATGTCAGTTTGGTCAACTTGCTCGTATTTTCTCTTGAAAACAATGAGAAACAAGTTGCTTGGGAAAAAAAAACCAGGAGTTTTGTCAGAATCTAATGCTGCAGAAAGTAAATTTGAAATCAGGAACTGGTACTTGAAGCTTGTGGACAACAGCACGATGTCTTTTCCCAAACCAGATAGTGTCTTCTGAAAAGAACAGTAAAAGACCCCAGCCCTTGCTGGGAATTACCTTTTATTCGGAAGATCAGATTACACTCGTGTTTGGCGTATGCCTGGACATAAGACACAAAGGCTTTCATGCCTTTCTCAAACACTGCCCTGTCGGCTAGGGCCATTGACTTCAGTTTTGGAAGAAGATCCAACACGTTTGTCTGTGGTTTCATTTCCTGCATGGGACACTGAAAACCAGAACAATACAAAACCAAAGGAAAAGTTCAGCTGAACTGTGCACTGTGAAATTTCAAACACACACTTCTTGCCCAGTTAATCTCGAGTGAGCTTTGAGCCCCTTTTCCCCATTACTTGGTCATTTCAACACCACCATCCAGCCCTGCACACGGCCATCCCAGCCCAGCAAACGAGTTCACACAGTGCAGCTCGAGAGAGGCAACATCTTCATCTCGTGCCTACGTTCTCATCAGCAGGGCTCTAGAGAATTTATACAATTAATCCCATAAACGCAGGACAGGACACGGGAAATTATCTAAGGTAAAAATAAATAGTGCAGAGTGTGCAGCACATAAAGCAGTGGTGGCAAAGCCAGGGATAGGAGCGTCCCAGCGCTGCCCTTCTGGAAATGCTCCATCTACACACCCGTAGAGATGAAAAGCCTTCCATTGTTCAATACATCACATACTCTTACCACAACCTCAGCAGGTAACACTGGGAGCAATCACGTTCTAACTGGTAGTTGCATTTGGTGATTAATAAGCAGCCCTTGTCTTTTTTTTTAATTGTGCACCTCTGCTAAAACATTACCTATGCATAAGACCTTAAGTCCTACAAATTCTGATTTCCAAGTGCCTATCAGTAGGCCTGTCCCCTTGCTCTTTCCTGCTCTGGCGTAGAAGGAGAACTCTACTAACCTTCTGGTTGATGGAGAGGAAGTTAATGTAAGATTCTTCCATGGGAAGCAAAAATACAAGCGCGCTGCCTACATTGCCAATCCTTGCTGTTCGACCGCACCGATGCACGAAGGCACTGAAACAACACAACGGAGAAAGAACTTAACGAGAGATGCTCGGTTTGATTTTAAAGTATTCGGCAGCAAAAGGGCAAATCTGATGGAATGGAAAACACAGAGTGCTATATACATTTGAGCTAAACCAAGAGCAATCAGTAAAATGCAATACAAGAGCCATGTAGGAGTCCCACTCAATTGTTAGGACTATGCTAAAGCAAGGGGTGCCTGTTTTGGGGGTGAAGTTTAAGCAAGTTATAGGGAGAATTACGACAATAGAAGATAAAATACATGAAAAAGTATCTTTAATGTGCACTTTAATGTACCATTCCTCAAAGAGCTCCCATCTCTGTTGACCCCAGTGTCTCACCTCTCGTTATCTCCTCAATATTCTCAGCCTTACACCAGTGCCTCTTCACACAAATGGAAGTGGTGACCACACATTTGACTCACACCCATACAACACAAAGTCATTTCAATTCACAGCAGTTACAACAAAACCTGCAGCGTTTCCACCTCCCCTGTGCGCGTCTTATTTTGTGTGTTCACCCAGACTAACTGCTAGGCAGCAATCACGGGCATTTTCCACAGCCGTGCATTCCCAATTCATATCTTAACAGGACAGCAACGTGACCACAAGTAAAGGTGCTTATGGTCTGAAGTTGTACCTTGCACTGCTGGGTGGGTCATACTGTAAAACCCAGTGTACTTCTGGAATGTCGATGCCACGGGCCATCACGTCGGTGCAAACTAAAATGCCACTAGGAAGAACAAAAAGGATACTTTCATTGACTGTCATTTGAGAATCACATAATCACAGAATCGTTCAGTTGGAAAAGCCCTCTG